CCCCCCCCCCCCCCCCCCCCCCCCCGCTTTCCTGATTGCTGAGATGAAAGTGGGTGACAAAGTTCACTCGCCTCCGAACACACACACAGACAACTCTCGACAATATGCGTTTCTGTTCACTGCAGCAGAAACACATATTGTCAAGAGTTGTCAGCCATACGATCATGTCAAAGTTTGCACATGGCACTGTCCTAACTCGAAAATTAGCCGGAATGCAGTGGCTGAAATTTTATCAGCACGCTGCACAGCAAAACGCATACTGAGGCAATTTTGGTGGAGAAATGATTTTGGAAACCAGTCAGGCTAGGGAGATTTTTCAAGGGTGTTCCTTTTCTTTGTAATACCTAAAGATTTCAAATTCAACTTTGAAGCACGGTTAAACATGAGGTTTGATAAGCGTTACTGCTAGCTTTGACAGTTAGATAGGTTTCAACTCGGAGCCAAGTCAATCTAAACGTTGCAACTTTAGTAAGTCATTGGCGACGGTCACCGGCCGAGCCCACGCGATCAAAAACGTCTCGTGCAGTTGTAATATCGTTTGGAATCACAATAGCTAGACTGTATGACATACTGGTCCTCAAACTTCAGAAAATTAATCGTGCAACTGTCATGTGCAATTGGAAAGGGAACACTCTATTAAAACTTCAGTTTTTCTGGTTTCCGAGATAGTGGACTTTTCGGCCAAAAAATTTCATGGGGCCATACTTGAAAACCACGCGCAAGCAGGGGTTGAATTTGAAACCTTTGAGCGCTATGCGGATGAGGAACATCCTCTTAAAATTTCAGCTTTGCAGCCTTTCTGGTCCCAGAGCTAACCATTTTCCCACCAAAACTTTCACTTGGTCCTTAGCGGGCCCAGACATACTTGGGGATTGATACCACGGTCCTGGGGTGGCAATTGGCCGGGAAACCCGCTGGCAGCATTTTGACTGCGGAGCCTGCATGTTGCCGAGTTGAAATACCGGACAGACCCACAGGCAAGCGCACACATGCACGAACATACGTACACAAGCACACCAGGGACCGTCACAATATGTATTTTTCCTGACGCTATAGCACTGCACAGCAACATAATCATAAAAAGTATTTACTTTGTTTTTTAGCCATTCGAAAACCTGAAATTATTGGCCTGCAGCGCAATTAAATTTGGTCATTTCAAGTATATAAAAATTCAGTTTTATCTTCAAGTCAGATTCGTGCGAATGACAGCTTTTCCACTACAAAGTGTTACTTCGATTTACGTGAAATTCTGGTAGTGAGGTTTTTGGTAGTGAAGTTAAAACTAAACGCAGTTGCGCTGTGTCTGCCGAGCAGTTGTTTTATTGAAACATTTATTTGCATATGTTAGCTAAATAAAATGAAGCCGGAACAATGACTCTGAACTATTCGTTTCTGAAACTGAACTCGTCGGCATTTATTGATTTCCAGATCCGAGCAGCTTCATCCAGCACATGCTTTGGTACTTTGTTAGCCATTCCGTCTGATATTTTGTACGTATCAATCGGGGCACACAAATTTAGCTGCAGTTTCAACACTTTTGACACATACGTTTTCGCTGCTTCACTTCCTGCAGCTTTCTGGAGTTTCCAGTTAAACATTTTGTAGATCGTCTTCACAATCTTTGTCTTATCTTTAAAATATTTGTTGTACAGCTCCTGCAAAATAGTCTGTGTTGCGAGTACTCAATCAAAAATTGATAACGAAATTGCTTGCGTTCGGAATTCATTGTGGTGCTCGCTATCGTGCCAGTAATCTAGTGAGCACTGCACATGTAAAAAGTGGGACGACGAAAAGGGTAAGGAGAAACAAGGGACGGGAATGGTGCTACAATTTTTTTTTATCAATTGCTTCTTGTATTGTATTCTTTAGAAGTAATCTGACGAACAATTTAGCTCGACCACTTGGTCTACAGACAAAATGTCGGGAGTGCATCAGCACTAAGCAAGGAAGTTTCAGGAAGCACGTTTTTCACTTCCATTTGTATAGATGGATTTCCTGGCTTCCGAATTTGATATTTGAGGGACAGAAACAAATAACCGTCCTTTCCGCGCCCATACCTCGAGATAGTTTTTAAATGCGTCCACGGCTTGCTGATCCAATGCGTAGCTGTGCGCTGGTAGCTGCATCAGAGCAACAAAGCACAATAATATAGCGAATCCCAAATGGCATCGCTTCATGCTGGCCAGCAACTGAAAAAGTACTTGAAAAAGTATTTC